GCAGAGAAAGAAAAAAAAAAAAAAGATGGCCAAACTGCCCAAGAGGTTCACTGCCCGTAAAAGGGGTAGGGCTGGGGGAGGGAAGAGCCCTTCCCGGTCACGACTCTGGCTTGGGTTTACCACCCAGAGCGCGGGCTTCCCCTTATTCATAGAAATTGAGGATACTGTACAAAAGGAAATCACCTGCCAAATTGCTCACACGTGTGAATACGTGCATTTTTGTTGGGCAACCAAGGCTTTCAGAGGGGCATGGAAGGCACAGACGCCTCCAGGAGGTAGGGCAGGGCTGTCACCTCACAGAGGAAAGCTGTCAGGCTTGTGCTGGGTGTCTACTGACCCTGCTGCTCCCTGCCTGACCCCGCTCCTCCCTGCCTGACCCCGCTCCTCCATACCTGACCCCGCTCCTCCCTGCCTGACCCCGCTCCTCCATGCCTGACCCCGCTCTGAAGCAGGCCCTTTACTCAACCCTCCTCCGGTTACCCAGTCGGCAGGTGCCATCTGCTTCCCGCTGGGACCCTGACTGATACAGTATTTTCAGTTCATCTCTGCAGTGTCTCTGCCTAGCCACTCACACAGACTCACACGTGTTCCCTGACCCACTCACTCAGCCTCAGCGACTCACACAGCGGACGCACACGCTCACTCACACGCACTCATCCCCAAACGCACGCACACGCCTGTTCACGGGCAGAGGGACTCTCGGTGCCCCCACAACACTGCCTGTGCCCACCCTTGGGGGAATGCAGGCAGGTCTCCGCTTAGGATCCTGCCCCGCTGAGCCGTGGGGGCGCCTGGCACGCAGGAGCCCTTCTGCGGGGGTGGCTATCACCGTGTGCTCCCTGGAACTGGTGACCCTCGCCAGCTCTTATTTCTTAAATTTATTAATTAATAATTTAAAAAATTCCTTTGGCCATGCTGCATGGTCGGTGGGCTCTTAGTTCCCCAGCCAGGGATCAAACCCATGCCCACTGCATCGGCAGCAAGGAGTCTTAACCTCTGGACCTCCATGGAAGTCGTGCCAGTTTCTATTTTTAGAAATGCTTCACTCTGTCTGGGACTGATGTGGATGAACCCAGCAACTGCATCTTCTCAAGGTGCTTGGAGAGAAGCCTCATGAAAACACTGAGTTAAAATGGCCTTTGGAACCTTACACCCCGTAGAAGAGACCTAAGAGTAAAAATAAAATCTTTCCACTCAGTTTCAGGTAGGGACAGATGGGAACCTTCAGGAGATCACACAAAGAAAGATTAATTTAGATGGATGGCACCAGGTGCTTTGAGTGGAGGTGGAAGGGAGACGCGTTGTAGCTCAATACGAGGTCACCTTTCAAATGACTGGGGCCATCAGTGAGGGACAGACCTCGTCTGGGGCTGCATCGCAGAGACTGCCATAGGAACTGGGAGCAAATGGCCTCTAAGGCTCCTCTAACATGCACCTGTGACCTGGGCCCATCACCTCCCCCTTTGGAGGGTCTACTTCCTTATCTGCTAAATGGTCATGTTAGTCAAGGTGCCTTCGACAGCTATAAATTCTCCGTCTCTGACTTCTGCAGGCAAAGATCCTCAAGATCCTTGGGGTGGGGGCTGGCATTTGGAAAAGAGCTGCAGAAGTAATTAAGGATGGAAACGCGAGTCTCTAGCTGCCTCTGAACGTCTGAGTTTGCAGATTAAAAGAAGGCTGAATCTTGGCTGAATGATTCCATTCCCTCCAGAGCAAACGGCAACAGCAGGACGTTGAGGGGGGGGAAATCTAGCCTCTGTTGGTGAGGAAGAAGCAGATGAATTTGTTTGGGAGACAAAAGGCTGGGCTCAGAATGGTGCCTCCAGCAGCAGCAGTTAGTGTTTCAGCCTCCCTGGACCTTAGACTCTCTGTCTTTAAAGGGGGGTGAACGCGCCAACTACACTGACTGCACTAAAGGTGAATGCCTCTAACCTCCCTGCTTGGGGTGGGAAGCAGCCAAGAAAACAGGTTTGCATCCAGGCACCCATGCTTGCTGGCTCTGTGACCTCCAGAGAAGTATTTCACTCACAAGCCTCTGCTTTCTCATCTGTGAGGTGGGGGGAGGGAAGCTTCTCCTGGGCAGGGGGTGAGAAGCTTTGAGCAAACGCACGTGGGACACTTCACACACCGGCAAGGAGCCTCGTGAGACTCTACGGAGCGGGCATACAGGACCCGCACCGCGGCCAAGCTGAATGAGCCCGGCCGTAACCCTTGTTCTCTTCTCCAAGGTTTTGCATCGGTGGCCAGGAGCTTCCCTGACAGGTGATCTTAGCTCAGCATTGGGTCCGTGTGGTGCCTGCAGTTTGCGGCAACACAAGAGCAGTGGCTGGCTCCCCGGGGTGGGGAGTGAGGTTGGGGGGTGCTCTGAGGAGGCAGAGCCAGGGCCACAGAGATGCGCCTTGCACCCTTACTCCTTGGGCTCTCTAGAAACTCTTAAACCATAAGGGTCAAATAGAGCACCTTTGCCTCTTTACACTCAAGCCAAAATCACCGTGGATGGTGACTGCAACTGTGAGATTAAAAGACGCTTACTCCTTGGTAGAAAAGCTATGACAAACCTAGACAGTGTGTTAAAAGGTAGAGATGTTAATTGGCTGACAAAGGTCCATATCATCAAAGCTATGGTTTTCCCAGTAGTCATATATGGATGTGAGAGTTGGACCATAAAGAAGGCTGAGCAATGAAGAATTGATACTTTCGAACTGTGCTGTTGGAGAAGACTCTTTGACAGTCCCTTGGACTGCAAGGAGATCCAACCAGTCCATCCTAAAGGAAATCAGTCTTAAATATTCATTGGAAGGGCTGTGCTGAAGCTGAAACTCCAATATTTGGCCACCTGATGTGAAGAACTGACTCACTGGAAAAGACCCTGATGCTGGGAAAGATTGAAGGTGGGAGGAGAAGGGGGCGACAGAGGATGAGATGGTTGGATGGTATCATCGGCTCAATGGACACGAGTTTGAGCAAGCTCCAGGAGATGGTGAAGGACTGGTGTGGAAGCCTGGAGTGCTGCAGTCCGTGGGGTTGCAGAGAGCAACAGAGCAACTAAACAAAAACAAGACTCTAGCCTGGAGATCTTTGGCGGGAGGGTCAGCTATCTGGGGCCCCCAGGGATTATGCTCGCAGGGTCCTTAAAGACCCTCTGACCTGTCTCTCCACATTTAACCCAGGCTTATTTATGACTGGTCTTCCCTGGGGGCTCAGCTGCTAAAGAATCCATCTGCAATGTGGGAGATCCGGCTTAATCCCTGGGTTGGGAAGATCCCTTGCAGAAGGGAAAGGCTGCCCACTCCAGTATTCTGGCCTGGAGAATTCTGTGGACTGTACAGTCCATGGGGTCACAAAGAGTCGGACACGACTGAACGGCTTTCACTTCACTTATTTAGGACGAGGTCTAACTCACGTCCTGCTGTGCCTAGGGTGACAGAGGGGAGGGATGCAGTGCGTGTGTGGGTGAGCCCACCACGACCAACTGAAGATGAGAACTCCAAACCAGTTCTTCTTGGAATGAAAGACTTTCTTCTAAAGCTGTATGAGACCGCGAGTCGGGGGTCTTCTTCCTATTTCTACTCTTCATAAGCTCTCCCACCAGATGAGTTAGCTGGAGGGCTGAAGAATTCCCAGTGGCCAGAGAGAAGTTATGAAGATGAAGACTTGCAGTTTAGATCACAAGAATTTTTATTAATATGTTACTATTTTAAGCCACCATACAAATATCCTTTGTATTGATTTCAGTGTGATGTACTGACTGAATAAATATGACAATTTCTGCCAGGGAGCCAAATAGTATTTTTAACCTACTTTAAATTATGTGTTGTTTCCTATGGGTTTTTTTTTTTTTTAAGTTTAGAGTTGATTATAAAGGCACTTTCAATTTTAAAAAATTCTTCTTTCCAGAGAATACACACACATTTTAAACTATTAATTGCAAAGCTTGTTGTTTAGTCTCTAAGTTGCGTCCCACTGTTTGAGATCCCGTGGACTGTAGCCTGCCAGCCTCCTCTGTCCATAAAGGAGTGCATTATTATTTTTTAAAACTACAAACAAAGATTAAAAAAAGGAAAATGATCTTTTTCTTATGGATGCCATTATGTTAGGCAATACCATTATAATAGAGGAAATTTGAATATATAATTGAAATACATTCTTAATCATATTTTGTCCCCTGATTCCTGCCTATTTACCTAATTTAGCCTGTTTACAGTATATAACACTGTGTTCTTAATCAGGACCCTGCCAGAAATTTTAGGACCTTAAAAAAGTAAGGGGAACCTGCCCCCACCCTCCGCCCCCAGAGAGCTGAAGTTTTCCACACATTGTCTGATCAGCTCAAGATAATAAGGTTCATAGATAAGGAAATGGGGATGGAAGGAGGGCTTTCAGCTCGTTCCCAATAGTTCGCCCCAAGTTCTTTTCTCTCCCTTTTTTCAAAATGGGGAGAGGGATCCCTTATGTCTCAAAGCCATTGGGAATGTAAATGAGATGGTATTTAAAGACCGAGTTCTTGTTTGGAAAGTCACTGAAGAGCTAACAGTAACACTGTAATCATTACTTGTCACTCAGATGAAATCTCTTGGTTACGGACAGAGATACAAAATTTCCACCTTTTGAGAAAACCATACGAGCTATCACCCATGCTTGGTGAAGCAAGAAACCTCAGAAAATTCTGGTGCAGGGGACAAATGGGACGACCCACAGCTTCAGAGCCGGAGGAGCTCAGAATGGGTTCAGAACCACGGAACCAAACGTTTCAGGAGACCCTGGTCTCGGGGCCTAACTGCCAGCTGGGAGCATGAACCCTCCGCGGGGTCCCTGCCCCTGACGGCGAGCTCGGAGAACCGCAGGGGGTCTCCGAGTGGCCGACGGCTGGAAGTCCTCCCTGATTTTGAGCCGAAACCCAAGAGGGGAACGTGGCACCTTCTCTTCCTGGGGGGCACTGAGGCCTGACATGTCAGGGTGCCCGCCTCCTTGCAAAGCCCTGGGGGACGGGGCGGGGTTACCTGAAATTGTAGCCTGGGGAGACACTGCTCTTCTGCGAAACGCCGTCCAGCCGGGTGAAGGAGTATCTGGGGATGCACTGGTCCCAGGCCTTGTCCAGATCACACACCCAGCCGATCTTAATGCCCAGGACTCCGCCCTGGAAGGAGAAGGGGGCGGACTGAGCCCTCTGATGGAGCGGGGTGGTGCTGGCGGGGCGGGGAGGTGGGGTCGTGACAAATGGACGGGCCGTTCTCCAGGCGGGGGGCAGAGGTCGGGGGAGAAAAGAGGGCTTTGTCACGCGTCGCTTAGCAAAGAAGCGCTGTAGCTGAGGGTCACAGCCCCGGGGCCTCTCTGATTCCTGTTTTCCGCATCCTTTTTTCTCCCCGTGGCGCTGGCTCTTGTGGAGGCCTGCCCTGTATTGCGGCATGTGGCCCTAGCTGCCCCACAGCGGGTGGGATCTGAGGTCCCGGAGCAGGGATCGACCTCTGCCCCGGCTTTGCAAGGCGGGCTCTGAACTGCCGGACTACAGGGACGTCCCTGATGTTTTTTGGTTATCTTTAGTCCCTTAGTTCTCACGCAGGGAAGTGACCACTGATCCACCTTCCCGTGGTGTGGGCGCTCCTGGGAGATCGGAGGCCTCTGCCTGCACATGGAGCATGAAGACAGGAGCAGGGGAGAGGGGGCTGGGGGTGGGCAGGAGCTAGGCAGGCAGGAGCACTGCGGGCAGGTGCAGGCACAGGCCGGGCACAGGTCTGGGGTGCCCCCACCCGGGGCATGGCCACACTGCAGCTCCTCCCCGGCCCCCAGGACCCCCTCCACCGGCCAAAGGGACCCCCTGACCCCAAGGCAAGAGTGGCTTGGTCCTCACCGTTTGGGCCAGCTTGGCAAAATCCTGCCCCGCGAACTTGACCACGTCGCCCACCCGCAGGATGGGGCAGAAGGGGGCTCTGTCGGGGTGGAAGCGGCAGGTCTTCACGTCTGCGGCCGTCAGGTCGGGGAGGAGGTTCCCTCTGGGGAGTGGAGGGGGGTTGACGCGTGGGTTTCCCTCCAGCCCCCGCCCTCTGGACGCTCGCGCCCCCCACCGTCCACCCCTGCCCCTGGCCTTTCCAAGGCCTGCACCGCCGCCCTCCTCTGCGAGGGTGGGCGGCCTTATCCTTGGCTCCTCTGCTGTGCTCTGCATGTGGACACCCACCAGGAGAGGCTGAACAGGGAACCACTGGAGAGGGGCCACCCCAAGGGAAAAGGGACACCCCGCGCACTTGTGGACTTGAGGCGGGGAGCAGAGGACCCCGCCTTCTTTGGAGGCATCCCCGGTTCCAGGCCCAGGGTCCACTGTCCCTGCCCCCACCCTCACTGCCCAGCAAAGCCCCCGTGTGGGGCCTCAGCCCCAGTGCACGAGGCTGGCAGGGAATCTGGTCCCAGAGTCTGCCCTGGGGAGGTCTCCCCCTGGGGAGCCAGGGAAGAAGGGGTGTCCCCCTCCGGGGGCAGTGGCTGCAATGCTTCTTGGCTTCAGGAAGGAGCTAGGACTCAATCCTTTGGCCCCTTTATGCAAACAGCTGACTCATTTGAAAAGACCCTGATGCTGGGAAAGACTGACGGCAGGAGGAGAAGAGGACGACAGAGGATGAGATGGTTGGATGGCATCACTGACTCAATGGACATGAGTTTGAGTAGACTCCGGGAGTTGGTGATGGACAGGGAGGCCTGGCATGCTGCAGTTCATGGGGTTGCAGGGAGTCGGACACGACTGAGCGACTGAACCGAACGGGACTGAGAACTCACTTCTCGAAGTTGAAGAGGGGGAAACGGATGCTGTTCTTGATGAAAATAGTGAAGTTCTCGGCTTCCATCATGACAGGCCTGTGGGCGAGAGCAGGAGGCCTGAGCTTGGGAGGAAGGAGGCGGAACCGGGAGGAGGGACCACCTACCTTTCTGGGAGCACCTCCTGACGGCCACGTGGGCGGGGCGTCTCGGGGTCTGGGGGAGACGCTCCCGAGGGCCCCGGCCCTGGCCCCGCCCCGGGAGTGGACGGGGCCCGGGCGCCCAGAGGCACGGCGCGTGCCCGGGCCCTTACGTCTCCACCGTGTCCACCTCCGCCGGGCACCAGCCCTGGATCTCGCAGGTCCGCAGCGCAGAGCTGTAGTTGACGCAGCGGCCGGTGAGGATCCCTGCGAGGGTGGAGCCGCGATCGCTGGGTGCACGCCCGGCTCTTCACCCCGTCCCCCTCTCCCCATCCGGGACGCCCCCCAACACACACAGGGACCCCGCAGGCGGAGGGAAAGGCCGGGTCGGGGAGGTGGACCGGGCCCCGTGCTCCTCAGACTCCTTCCTCCTGGCCTCCCCAGCCACTGATGCTGGGAAAGACTGACGGCAGGAGGAGAAGAGGACGACAGAGGATGAGATGGTTGGATGGCATCACTGACTCAATGGACATGAGTTTGAGTAGACTCCGGGAGTTGGTGATGGACAGGGAGGCCTGGCATGCTGCAGTTCATGGGGTTGCAGGGAGTCGGACACGACTGAGCGACTGAACCGAACGGGACTGAGAACTCACTTCTCGAAGTTGAAGAGGGGGAAACGGATGCTGTTCTTGATGAAAATAGTGAAGTTCTCGGCTTCCATCATGACAGGCCTGTGGGTGAGAGCAGGAGGCCTGAGCTTGGGAGGAAGGAGGCGGGACCGGGAGGAGGGACCACCTACCTTTCTGGGAGCACCTCCTGACGGCCACGTGGGCGGGGCGTCTCAGGGTCTGGGGGAGACGCTCCCGAGGGCCCCGGCCCTGGCCCCGCCCCGGGAGTGGACGGGGCCCGGGCGCCCAGAGGCACGGCGCGTGCCCGGGCCCTTACGTCTCCACCGTGTCCACCTCCGCCGGGCACCAGCCCTGGATCTCGCAGGTCCGCAGCGCAGAGCTGTAGTTGACGCAGCGGCCGGTGAGGATCCCTGCGAGGGTGGAGCCGCGATCGCTGGGTGCACGCCCGGCTCTTCACCCCGTCCCCCTCTCCCCATCCGGGACGCCCCCCAACACACACAGGGACCCCGCAGGCGGAGGGAAAGGCCGGGTCGGGGAGGTGGACCGGGCCCCGTGCTCCTCAGACTCCTTCCTCCTGGCCTCCCCAGCCGTGGACCGGCCAGACGGAGGGGACGACCCATCCCTCCCGTGTTCCAAGCCCCTGCACCGCGGAGACCCCTTCACCGCGGGCTCTTTCCTGCCTCCGAGCCTTGGCTGCCTCTGCTCCTCTTGCCTAGAATGCCCTTCTCGAAACCTCGCCTGCCAAATCCTACCCGTTCTTCAGGGCCCATCTCAAATGTCCCTGCCTCTAGGAAGCCACTCGGGGCCGCCCGCCAGGAACCAGGGGCTCCCCTGGTGGCTGAGCGGTAAAGCATCTGCCTGCAATGCAGGAGCCACAGGAGACCTGGGTTCCATTCCGGGGTGGGGAAGATGCCCTGGAGGAGGGCATGGCAGCCCTCCCAAGTATTCCTGCCTAGAGAATCCCCATGGACAGAGGAGCCTGGTGGGCTACAATCCATGGGATTGCAAAGAGCCGGACACAACTGAAGCAACTTAGCACGCGCATGCCAGGAACCAATCTCTCTCCCCCAAGCCCCCGCGTCCCACCGAGCATCCGTGACAGCCCTGGCCACCTGGGACACCTGTGTGCTCCCCATCCCTGGACTGGCAGCTCTGGGGCAGCCCCCATTGGGGTGGCATATGGCGAGCTTCTGTCAGAGTGGGCAGTGCAACCCGGGAAGCCTGATTCCCACTGTCTCCCCTGGCGGGGATGTGGGGTTGGGAGGGGATAGGGAGGGGGCCGCACTCACCTCCCCCTGGGAAGCGCTCAGGCCCACACTGGCTGTCTGACACACAGCGGAACTTCTCCTCGCTCTGCAGGGAGACAGGTGCAGGGAGGATACATCACCCTGGGGGGCAGTGGTGGGGGGTGATGGAGGGTGGGGGGGTCCCACGCAGCTCCAGGGGCTGGACCCTGGGCCTTTGCATACACCCTGAAACCCAAGCCTCCCCCAACCACGCTGCGCTGCCCTGACCTCTGGGCAGAAGCCTTGCATCTGGTTTTCCGTGACGATCATCTTGGTGATGATGACGAAGACAGAGGTGCCCTTGGGAGGCGGAGGGAGAGGGAAAATGCAACAGTGCCAGTTTGAGAGGTGGGTACATCTGTTATCCCCACTGTACAGATGAGGAAACTGAGGCTCACTCTTATCCCCATTGTACAGATGAGGAAACTGAGGCTTGCACCCAGAGATCTGGCCAAGGTCATGGGGCTAACAAAAGGCAGAGGTGGGGTCCAAGCCAGACTCTTTCCAGCCATCTTCCCGGCCCTTCTTGCTCCCCCCAGGGTGTTGCCCTTGATTTCAGGACAGGTTGTAGCAGAGCCAGGGAGAAACCCGGCTCCCTGACACCCAGTGCTGCCTAGCAAAGTGGGAAGGCAGGCCCCAGGCCCCAGCACCTCCCAGCTGCTGGGGGAGGGGTCCCCCGGATCACTGATGCCACAGCATCTGGTCTGGGAATCCCATCGGCGCTCCTTGCCTTGGCCTCTCCCCGCCAAGCTACCCAGCCTCTGGATACCCACAAGGTCCCGGGCTAGGCAGAGGAATGTACCTGGGGGGGTGTCACATAGTCAGACACGTCCATGACTCGGTTGGCATAGCGTCCGAAGCCCTTGACCTTGGTCACCACCGAGGACTCGATGGCCGTGTCCCGCACCTGGTATGCCTTCTTGTGCAGGAAAACCCACCTGGCGTGGGGCGTGGGGGCGGAGAGCAACAGAGGAGGGGTGAGGCCCTCAGACAGAGGCTGGGAGAGGCCCCTTCCTGTCAGCCTCCAGAGAGCAAGGGGCGCCTGGTCCGGAGGCCTGGGCCAGCCGGGGGTTGGCTTAGAGTCACGTTCTCCCCCTTTCTGCACTTACCCCCTAGGAGCCCTTTTACACTCCTTTTTTTCCCCTAATCGACCCCCTCTTTGAAATTTTAATACCTATCGATGCCATTTGTGTACTGTTTGTTGTTTTCTGCCTTTTACATAAAGAGACTGAGATGTTTGGACTTCCCTGGTGGTCCAGTGGTTAAGCGTCCACCTGCCAATGCCGGGGACACGGGTTCAATCCCCGGACCGGGAAGATCCCACGGGCCCTGGGGCAACTGAGCCCGAGCACCACAACTACTGCAGCCTGCGTGCCCTGGGGCCTGTCTGTCGCTGCAAAAGACCCACAGCGACGAGAAGTCACTGCAGCTAGAGCGGGGCCCCTGCTCTCCGAAACTAGAGGAAGCCCACACACAGCAGCGCACACCGAGCTCGGACAGAAAGTAATTAATTTTTTTTTTAAAAAGCATTTTTTAAAGAGTAAGGTTTTTTTTTTTTTTTAAGTTTTCCAAGAACCAGTTTTCAGCCCTTCTGTCTTTCTCTGGCGGCATCCGGAGAGAGGACGCAGAGGGTCATGGGCCTCTGACCCCAGTGCCTCCCAGGCTTTGCTCACTGCTGTATCCTAAGAGCTGGGGTTCAGAGGGGTGGGGCTGGGGAGGGAGGCGGGGCCGCTTATTTCTTGGGCTGTGCTGCCACCCAGAGGGCATTTACCTGTACTGGTTGACACGGAGAAAGAAACTATGGTTCTTGTCCCCCAAGCACTTGGGCCAATGAATAAGTTTAATAGAGAAGGGAGAAAACGCAGACACGAAGGGGAAATGGTCAAAGCAGACCAAGTAATAATTTAGAAAAGTCCAGGAGCTTCAGTTCCTGCGCAGGCGCTAGATATAACCCTCTGAGCCCTAATCTTTGAGCTGCCTTATAGATACGGAAACCCCCCAGCAGGTGGAAGAATTTGATTAGGTGGTGAGCGGACTATAGCCGTGACATAAGCTGCCACAATTCTGAGAACTGGCCTCAAAAAAAAAAAAAAAAGTAAACAAACCAACCCCGGAACTGAAGATGAACTGTACTGAAAGCAATCGAGACGCCGTCGGTCAGACCCCCGATAACCAATTTCAAGACGACGATCAGAGCTGTTCCTGCGTGCAGCTTTGCCCCGCTTCAGCCGATAAAAGCTGAAGCTCCCTGACTGTCGGGGGTGGGGGGGGGCTGGTGGTGTAGGGAGTCTGCCTTTGGAGAGCATCTGGCATCTCAAAATAGAGCAAACTTTCCCTTCCACCGACCTGGCCTCTTTACCGGCTTCTGAGAGGCGAGCGGCTGAGCCCGCTGTCAGTCACGCGGCTTCCCCCCGCCCCCCGCCCCCACCCCGCAGCGTCTGGGGCAGAGAGGGACCACGTGGGGCCGGGAGGATGCCCTGGGCTTCTTCCCTTCCTGCCTCCCTCACGGGCCCCTCCCAGCCTCCCCCAGCAACAAGAAGGGGCTGCCCCTGGCCCCTTGCTTTCCCCTGGGTTTCGGGGCCGAGCCCACCTTTTCACGGGAAGTCACCCCGTGCCCTTGGGGCTCAGGCCACGCTCACCCTCAGCATCACTCGCGAAAGTTCCATCTGCTCCTGCCTGCATGCGGGGAGGCGTCTTCACTCTCCTCGCCGTGCAGACGGCAAAACCTCCTCAAATACATTTGCGAAACGCTGCGTATGTCTGCCCAGCTCTGCAGACACACCCATGACTTCTCAGGGATTTTAGGGGCGCACTTGGGGAATATGGTGTTAGGGTCGTCTTCTGAGGCTCACGAGGGCGACAGCCGGCGGGGGGAACCCCGTGAGAGGGAGACGGGCAGGCGGAGTGGAGACTGCGGAGCAGAAAAGACGAGGCTGGCTGGCGGGGTGGGTGAGGGCTCGGAGGTGGCTGCAGGCTGGCCCAAGTTGCTTAGAAGCAGGGGTTGGGACTTCAAGCCTGGGAGCTTTCTAGCCTCTGGGGTCCCCTGATGTTGGGAGACACAGAGGGGAGCAGCTCGTGGGTCGTGCTGGGGTCCCGGTCACTCATGGGGTCCTATCTATGGGACTGAACTTTACGAGCGGCTCCTCGTTCAGTTTTCAGTGAAAGGGTTCACAGTCACCCCCTAGTGGGGCTTCCCTGTGGCCCCCGAAATCTTTTTAAAAAAAGACACTTAATTATTTGGCTGCGTAGGGTCTCAGTTGGGTTTCCCTGGTGGCTCAGGGGGTAAAGAATCCGCCTGCAATTCAGGAGACACAGGTTCCCGATCGGGAAGATTCCTTGGAGGAGGGCATGGCAATCCACTCCAGTGTTCTTGCCTGGAGACTCCCATGGACAGAGGAGCCCGGTGGGCTACCGTCCACCGGGTCGCCAAAAGTCGGACACGTCTGAGCAACTGAGCACGCAGGGTCTCAGTTGCAGCACCCGGGGTTCTAGTCGTGGTTTCCACCTTAGCCGTCTCAAGACACCTGGGATCTTAGTTCCCCGACCAGGGATTGAACCAGTGAACCAGGGTCCTCTCATTTGAAGGCAGGTTCTTAACCACTGGACTGCCAGGGAAGTCACCAGCACCTGAGTTCTGAACGCTGCCTTGAGAGGGCAGGAAAGGGTGGTCACCGCCAGCGCCGGCCGAGGGCGCCTCACCTGTGCTGCTGTTCCTGCCTTGTTCCAGGCAGCGCCCTGAGTAATGAGCCATTAAGAGTTCTCTGCGTGCTTGCGAGCCGCTCCTCGGAACACCACGCCTCTGTGGAAGTCTGAAAGGGGTGAGCTTTACTTCCCTTGCCCTGCCTCCTGTGTTGTGAATACTGGGAAGGGTTTCATCTTGGTCTTGGGAGGGAAGGGGGCTCATGGAGAGGTGTCAGCTGCCTGTCTCGCGTCCCAGCAGAAGGGAAGGGAGCGATTATGGATAATGCGGACGTCGTCCAGAAGAGCTTTACCAGCTAGGCTGCGGCCCTCGGAGCCACGGCGGGGGGCGGTGGTCTGACCGAGCGCCTCTGCGGCTGTGCTGCCCTCGCCTGGCTGGGGGCCATGGTGGCCACACGGCCCCTGGGCCCTCCCCGTGCCTGGCCGTGCAACGGACGCGCCTTTGTGTGTCTAGCAGTGAAACGACCGGCCTCTCCTGTCCTTCAAGTCTGGGAACCTTCAGGTGAGAAGCGGCATTCAGATGGTCACCGTTGCTGTAGGATCCGCCCAGCACGCTGAGGATGCAAGAATCCTTTCTTACGACCCAAGGGGACCGCTGTGCTATTATCCTCGTGTTACACACGAAGGAACCCAGGCCCGGAGCAGGGCACCGACTCGCCGAGCTGGCATGCACATTCTGACCCTGGATAACCCCTTCAGGGCCCCCAGTGGGGTCCTGGTCCCCAGCCCCCGGTGCCTGTCCTGCTGGCCTCGCCCATCAGCCGGGAGAGCAGCCCCCGGCTCAGGGACGTCTCAGGAGGATGAGCCCAGGGCCCTGGGGACGATTAAGCGGCCTCTCTCCTTCTCGTCCTGCCTCACGGCTCTCTCCTGTGCCCGGGCAGGATTCCCCTCCGAGTTGAATAACAAGCGGAAGCATTCCAGTGCCCCCTTGGGGCATGCTGGCAGCTGGAGAAAAGGAGGGTGTTCATTTCCAGAACAGAGGGGCCGCGTCTGTCTCCAGGGGCCGGGGCTGAGGAGACGGGGCGGCACTGAGCCTCCAGTTCTTGGCACCGACTCTGCTGCTCTGACTTCTTCTTTCTCGCGTTCCTGGTTCATTATTTATAGAGCGGGAGGCGGGCGGCAGCTCCCTGGCAGGTGGGATGTGCAGGAAGGAAGTCAGGGCAGTATCCCATCCTCTCCACCACCCAGGAGTCAGGGAGGAGATCGGGAGGGTATGAGGGGGTGTGTGTGTGTGTGTGTGTGTGTGTGCATGCGCGTGCACGCGGGAATCAGAGTGGTCTCTTAGGAAGGTGTGAGCTGGGCGAGGGAAAGAGGGACATGCCGGGAGCCTGGGAAATGTCAACAGTCACCAGCTTCCCGAGTCACCCAGCCCAGGCAGAGGCTGGCGTGTGTCACCTCCTCCCACCAGAACCCTCGGAGGTGGCAATGAGGTGGCATCGTCCGGATACGGGGACTGAGACGTGGAGATGGAAAGTGATCTGTCTGAGCCCCACTCTTGTTGGGGCTGGAGCCAGGCTTCTAACCAGGTTTCCCCATCACGGGGCTGGGGTGCTGGGCGTGGGGCAGGCAGAACGAGAGCCATGAGATTCCATGCCCCTCTTTGTAAACTGGATCAATCCCCCCCTTTTAGTGGCTTTACATGTTGGATGTCTTTGGAACCTTTGACCTGAGGCTGAATGTCGTGAACCAAAGCGGGTGGCCATGCAGATGGGGGTCTTAGAGTGGGAGAGCCAGGGCAGGGCTGTGATGGGCTGGGGGCGCCTGCAACCCCGACAGGCCCTTCCCAGGGTGGAAAGGGCACTCCAGAGGTGGGAGGCCCTCACTGCTGTGGGCTTCCTGCAGGAATGCCCTGGGAATCAACCCCAGGCTGGGCACTGGCTGGCACGTCTGGGCACTCAAGCCTCAGGGATCATCTCCTTCTTCCTCCTTAGATGCTCACGGGATCCAGACAAGGGGTGGGCTCTTAGGAAGTCCCCCCACTGCTCCACCACTGCAGAGGAGACTGCGGTGGGCCCAGAAAAGGCGCGAGAAACACCCAGGAAGTCCTCACAGAGACACCTCTGTGCACCTGGGGCGGGTTAGGGAGCCAGGGATGAAGGGGCCTGAGCCGCAGGCAAGCAGCTGAGGCTCAGGCCAGTGTGTGCGTGCGTGCATGTGTGTGTGTGTGTGTGCGTGCGTGTGTGTGTGGAGTTGATCAGGTGGTATATTGCTGTGCGTACATAAGAGAAGTGGTTGGTTCCTGTCACTCACGCCCTAGGTAAAGCTGTGCATCTGGTCTACCTGGCAGGGCTAATGTGGAAGCGATTCAAGTCAAGCATTAACCTCAAAGCTCTAAAAATCCTTTCAAATCCTCCTGCGTCGGAGCCACAGCCACCTCTCTTTGCATGACTGCCTGGCCTCTTAACGGGCTCTCCTGCATCCACTTCTGCCCACGCCAATCCCTGGGGTCAGCCAGGGCTTCCCACCTCTCCCCCTAGACACACACACACACACACACACACACACACACACACAGGTTAAAATGCATCAGGAGCCTCCATCACTGTACATCACTCCTCTGCAGCATGAAGGATCGGAGGTCCAGCCTCTGCCTGTGGCTGCAGCCCTGTCCTCCACCATCCTCTCCTTGGTTCCCTCTGCTCCAGCCACCAAGACCCCTTCTCACTCCGCATCCAGCAGGCCCTTCCACATCGCAGAGCGGGTCTTCTCTGCTTTGAACCCCCTTCCTAACTTTCCCGCACCTAGTGGCTCTGACTCATCCTTCACCTCTTGGCTGCAAAGTCTTGTGTCCAGAAAGCCTTCCCTTACTTCCCTGGCCAGGTCAAAGGCAAACCCTTCTGTACCCGCGGCCCACGGGGCACTGGGCCCCCCTTCTTCAACCCCGAGCCACGGCTGCCATTTTATATCTGCTCGTGGAGATGGTCTGATTAGTATCCATCTCTGGCCGTGTCAGCTCCATCGGGGTGAGGGCCCGTACCACTTGGGCCCACTGTTCCTGCCTCCGTGTCAGGAGGACACGCTCAATACAGTCCTGCTACCTTCATGACCACGGACTCGTGTCCCGGCTCACAGGCACAGAGATGCGGCTGAGGCCAGGGGCTGGGCTGAAGAGCGCTGCTCCGTGGGGAGCTGTCAGGCTGGGAGACGGATGGGGCTGGATGTCAAGACGCCAAAGAGCCTCTCCCACCCGCCCAGCAGGCTGGCCTGCAGCACTGAGGATGGGGCACCGGACTGGATCAGGGAGAGACAAGGGCGGTGAGGGGTGGGGGCGATGGAGCCCGCTGGGTCTCGCCTCCATCAGTCTCCAGCCTGGAGCCCATGGAGCCAGGCCAGGCTGGAAAGTGCTGAAGTAGCTCTGTGCTCACCTGGACCAACAGATCATTCTGCAGCGACGAACAACCACAGCTATGCACACGCAGGCAAACATGGAGCCTTAAGAACCAACTTTGTGCCAGGCGCTGGAGACGCTGACGGAGAGCATGTGCAAACATCCTAGCTCATGAAACCTCAGCGTTGGAACAGAAGTTCATTTAAAGCCACTTAATCCCATCCCAAAGCTTGAATCCCCCCTCTAATGTCTCCACGAGGAGACTGCATGTGCAGCCTCATCTACACACCGCATGAATGAAACCTGCTGGTTTTCAGCACACGCGTGGAGCTGCTAAAAATTTCCTTCATCTACGTCCACCCATTTTCCCATGCGCTACTCCGGCCTGGCGGGCCAGCAGGTCCACTCCTGCGGCCCCAGCCCCCACACACACGGGTCTCCTTTGACCTCCCGGCGTGAACTCCTGACGGTCATAGGTGTCTCACACACGCAGACCCGTTGTCTCAAGGAACAGTGTGAGGCGAGTGACCCAAATGCCAGGAGAAAAGAAACAGACCTCTGAGGTTTCTGTCCCGTTTTCCTGATTCGAATGACTGCGAGAAGGACAGAACCTGTGTCTCCCCCCAGCCATTGTTTCACGAACCTTTGTGTATACATGTGTGTACGTGTGTGCACCTGCAAGAGGTGGGGGCCCAGAGGGGGTGTTTGGACCTCCCTGGCCCTTAAGCAACTCCCAGGATGGGTTCTAGGGCATGAAGTCAGGCGGACGCAGGGCACTGATGGTTTCTGACAAAGGGGAGTATTTCTGGCCCCTGAGGGGGCGGTCCCCTATGTCATGCTCAGAAAAGCCTCCTTTCTCTGCAGTAAATCTTCCCTGGAGGGGTATTTGCACCCGTTTCTGCCCACCACCTGTACCCCCACAGGGGCAGGGTCCCCCACCCCAACTCCCCGCCTTGCCCTGCGCTCAGAGAGTGAGGGCTCCCCTTCCACATTCTCGCAGCATCTTGCCCAGCCCGTCCCTTCTCCGCGCCCTCTCCGCCATCCACCTGGTCAACCTGTCACCGACTCCCTTGTCTCATCGCCTTCCCCTCCCTTCCCCGGCTCCCCCGTCTTTCCGAGACCCTGAAGAGTTGGCTGAAGGCAACGGGAAGGTGTGTGTGTGTGCGGGGGGGGGGTCTGCTCTCTGGCTGGGGCTAGGGGAGATGACAGAGTGAAGGGGAGACAGTGGAGGGGCCACAGCTCCCCTCCTCGGGGTGCATGGCCGCGGTCCAACTCTGGAAGATTTAGTGGAAGAAAGAACTCTCCGATGATGGCAGGGGAGGCCAGTGCCTCGGATGGGGCCCCACAGATGAGGATGTTGGCCCCCCCCCAAAGGAGAGACACTTAGGCAGCTGGGCAGCAACACTGAGGGGAGGTGGGGGAGGATGGGATCCGGGGGCGGCCCTTGGGGTCGCTAGGGCCTCAGGTTTCTAGGTCCTGGGGGCCAGAGACTCACCCCACGAAGTAGGAGATGATGAGAAGCTGAACCGCTCGGTTGATGATCCCAATGGTCCAGCTCTTCACGACCACCGACTTGGTGGTCTCGTAGGTGAAGAAATCTGAGATGCAGTTCATGCTGAGAGAATGACCCCTCACGAGAGATCCAATGGTGGACTCAGGAGGGAGGGGTCATCCGGATGGAGGCTGGCAGGGAGGGTGGGCGGCTTAGAGGGGCTTGAGGAATGTGGAGTCTGTTCCTTTAAGTCAGGCAACCCTAGCCCTGGGGCTCAGCCTCTCTCTGCTTTCCACCCTCAGGTCTGCCAAGAGTCCAAGGCCAGGGTGGGTGACCCCCTTTTTGTTGGTTTCCACCCCACTCCCCTGTGATGTCATGGCAGGGGTGGGGTCTCCAATCCCAGGCTCCTGATTGCCTGGGATGCAGCTGGCTGGGGCCCTCTGGGACTTATGCTTTATCTGCACTCTGTCTACCGCTTAGGTTCTGTTCTCTTGTGCTGCGTCTCCATCCCAGCTTACCAGCTGCTCCACGCTCTCCTGAAAGCCCCTTGTAATACCCCACCCCACCCACCCAGCAGCCTGCTTGAGCTGAGATCTTCCTGTCTTCCTACAGCACTCAATTCTACAGACATCCCCCTCTTTTCAAGAGCTGCCAGCAACAGCATGGGTTGGGGGAGGGGGGTCCCCTGAACCTTTCTCATGGCCTCACGGGAGAGGGTGACTAAAAAGTCACTTAGTTTCTATTTCCTATCCATCCTGGCAGTGGCTGAGGTTCTACTTGCAGCATTGCATTATAACGCTGGGTGTTTTTTTGTGGGAGTTGTTTTACTGTCAGAGTATTGATCTGAATCATCTGTTTGATTACATGCTCCTGGAAGGCTGGAACTGTTTCCATCTTGTTTGCTAGTTTCCTCAAATCCTACCACCGTGTCGGAGCTCAATGTGTATTTACTGAATCTAGTTGAATTTATGTTGCTAGAGAGTGTGGGAACAGCCATTGTCCAGAGGGTAACACCATGAGTTCAGGGAGCAACGGTGCGTTCACGTTGTGTCTTGTCCCAGGATCGAAGCTACTGGTGTAACCGCAGGTCAGACTGTCAGAGAAATGTTGAGTTTCAACATTCTGCCCTAATGTCTCCATGCTCGACATGTATTGTCAGTCATTCTGAATGTAGAGTCACAGTGAGCATGACAGAGGAGAGCTAGTCCGTGGTAGGTAGATCTGTCTTCAGCTCTGTCGCCAACTGAGACCCCCCGGGGCTACTGCCGTAAGAGCCTCAGTTTTCCCCATCTGCAAAAAGAGGTTGGAGCGGACAAACCCAGACATCTCTCCCAAGTCTGGCCGCCTCTGATTTTGCAAGATGCACCCTAGGACTCTAAAAGGTGGGGTTGTGGGGGTGGCTGGCTTCCGCAGTCCCAGGGTGATAGGCTTTCAAAGCAGTTGTGGCTCCGTGATGAACCTGACACCAGCGCTTGAACTTGGCAAGGCTGCGGGCCAGCCCCTTCCAGGCAACTCACAACTTGCAGGGGCTGCTGGAAGTTTCGGGGTGTGTGTGTGTGTGTGTGTGTGTGTGCGTGTGTGTGTGTGTGTGCGTGCAGCGAGCTCATTTGCAAAAGGACACAGTCCTCTCTGGACAGGGGAGGGCGGTGCAGTCACAGCGACATCAACGCCTGCATTCTTCTGGAAGCTAGTGGGAGGGGTTACTTCTCTGCACAACTCTTCCAATCTTTTCCTTCTTGGGTCAGACTCCTTTCTGCTTCACAGAAACCACTATTGTACCGGAGACACACGCGCATCATTCCAAGGGCCACGCGCTTCCGGGCCCAGTCTGTGACAAACACTGCGCAAGTTATCTTTAAAAAAGCCCAGGCGTCTTTAGCGTTTAAGGGGCCCCCGATCTCCGGGCCCGGGGGTCGGGGGCCGCGCGGGCTGGAGGGGCCGGGGTCGGCGGCATGCGCTGCTCGGTGCCGCGGCGCCCGGTGCAGCGCCCAGGGCGGATGTCGGGTGGGGGGGGGGTGTCAGCACTTCTTGGGGCAGGCCGGGCCCCCAGGACTGGACCCGGCCCCCAAGGACTGGACCCGGCCCCCAAGGACTGGGCCCAGGCCCCGGAGCCCGGCCGGTGGGCTCCTGGGTGGAGGAGATAGGACGCACGCCCGAGGTAGCGGGCCCATCCGGGGGCATCATCAGCGGCCGTCCTTCCTACCCACTTCTCTCCCTCTCGAATCCAGATCCCCAGCGCGCCGTGCGTCTGCGCGCCCACCCAGGAGTTTCCGGGGTACCCTCAGGGCTAGGTCAGCATGGCAGAAACCCTGGAGTTCAACGACGTGTATCAGGAGGTGAAGGGCTCCATGGTGAGGAGGGCCCCGCGGAGGGATGGGAGCAGGACCTGCAGGGCCACTGGCCGTGCACATGCTCTGAATGGGCATGCTGGTTTGGAAAAGGGGTCAGAGTACCCGTGTGTGCTTAGGGTTCCCCCCAGCTGAGAAGCGGTACCCGGGGAAAGGACCAGAATCAGGTCCTCTTGAAGGGCCCCTCAGCTGCAGCCCAGTCCTGGAGCCTGGAACACTCCCTGCAGGGGTTGTGGATGACTGAGCCAGGATTAGAGCCCAGGGGTCCTGGCGGGTTGTCTCTCTTTACTGGCCCTCAGGGCTCCCCATGGCTGCTGCTGCTCCGGTCTGTGGATATCAGGCTGGCCCAGAAGGGGCGCCGGGAGGGACTGACCCTTGTCTGCTGCGCTGCGGCGTCCCCACGCATGTGGGCCTGTTTCCCCAACAGAATGACGGTCGGCTGAGGCTGAGCCGCCAGGGCATCATCTTTAAGAACAGTAAGACGGGCAAAGTGGACAACATCCAGGCCGGGGAGCTGACGGAAGGCATCTGGCGCCGGGTGGCTCTGGGCCACGGGCTTAAACTGCTTACGAAGAACGGCCATGTCTACAAGTACGACGGCTTCCGGGAATCGGTGAGACACCCTGTTGTCCTGACTGTGTATCTCCTTTAGTTTTAATCTTCTGGAGAGACAGGTGGGGGCCCTTCTTCTGATAACTGTGCGATCGCTGGTTTGGGCTCCTAACAGCAGTCAATGTTCACTTTCGGGTCATCTCAGGAGATTCTTTGTTCCTTAACTCCAGAAGTTTTTCTACTGTTTTGATTTTTTTTTTTTTTTTGGTGGCTTCTGCCTGTTGCCTTTATCCAGGTTCTGGGTCTTACCTGATGCTTTAGTTTGGGTTTTGTTTTTCCACTGTGGTCTGTGTGCATTAAAGATTTCACTTCATCTTCCTTTCCACTTTTGCTAAAGCAATACTTGTTCAAACTCAGAAAAACATTGCAAGACCCATAACTGAGAATGTCAGCCCCTTACTTTATTCCTCCCCCAGCCTGAGAAATAACCCAGAAATAACTTCTCTCAACAGTCTTTTAAACAGTTTTATAGCTGTGACTCTTAAGTCAGCATGGATTTCTGATAAAAGGTATACTGGGACAGTTTCTCAGAAACAGATAATCCCAGAACATCCAAGTTTGTGTTCAGGCCATCAGGAGTTTACTGGGCTGGTTCTCTTTCCTCTCCCTACAGGAGTTTGAGAAACTCTCTGATTTCTTCAAAACTCACTATCGCCTGGAGCTAATGGAGAAGGATCTGTGTGTGAAGGGTTGGAACTGGGGAACCGTGAAGTTTGGTGGTGAGTCCTTCCAGGAGATTGGAGGTTTCAGGGGAGGAGGAAAGATGAAAGATTTCCCCCTTTAACTTTTCTTGCTCTCTTTCTGCCACTGTGTCTGATTTCTTGTCTGTTTGTAAATAATCATGTGTTTATCGGGGACCCACGGTGTGTTAGGCAGCCTGCCTGGTCCCGGGGGTCTGGGATGAACAGACAGCCCCCGGGCCCTCTCCGTAGGGAACCTGTAGTCTGGTGGGAGCGCAGTTCATGCTGAGCCAGGGGAAGAGCCTGTGGATGGGTCCGCCTTTTACCCACAGGGCAGCTGCTTTCCTTCGACATTGGTGACCAGCCAGTCTTCGAGATCCCTCTCAGCAACGTGTCCCAGTGTACCACGGGTAAGAACGAGGTGACACTGGAGTTCCACCAGAACGACGATGCAGAGGTCTCCCTCATGGAGGTGCGCTTCTACGTGCCGCCCACCCAGGAGGACGGCGTGGACCCTGTGGAGGTGAGGCCTCCCGCGCTACTGAGCGGCCCTGGACAGCCCGCGGCCGGCTCCCTGCGGCTCGATGACCCCCGCGTGCCTCAGCAGGCCTTCGCCCAGAACGTGCTGTCGAAGGCGGACGTGATCCAGGCCACTGGAGACGCCATCTGCATCTTCCGGGAGCTGCAGTGTCTGACGCCCCGAGGCCGCTACGACATCCGCATCTACCCCACCTTCCTGCATCTGCACGGCAAGACCTTTGACTACAAGATCCCTTACACCACGGTGCTGCGGCTCTTCCTGCTGCCCCACAAGGACCAGCGCCAGATGTTCTTTGTGGTGAGCCGGACCCTCGGGCCCGTGACCCTGGGGCCCGCCCGGGTCTTCGGGAGGCGGGTATCACCCCTGTCCGTCTAGCTCGTTGGCTGGTCCTTGCGGAGCGCTGGCTGGCGCTGAACCTGGTGGCCCTTCTGCTGCAGATCAGCCTGGACCCTCCCATCAAGCAGGGCCAGACCCGCTACCACTTCCTCATCCTCCTCTTCTCGAAGGACGAGGACATCTCCCTGGCGCTCAACATGAACGAGTGAGTGAGGCTGTCCCCGGCCTGGGTGGTGGCGGCGGGTGGCTGGAAGGCCGCAGTGCCGCCGCCTGCAGCTTGCTGTTTGCAGGGAGGAGGTGGAGAAGCGCTTTGAGGGGCGGCTCACCAAGAATATGTCAGGATCCCTCTACGAGATGGTCAGCCGGGTCATGAAAGCGCTGGTGAACCGCAAGATCACGGTCCCCGGCAACTTCCAAGGGTGAGCGCGCCGGCCTGGGCTGCTGCCTGCCGGGGAGGCTTATGCATTGGGGGGCCTGGGCTGTTGGCTGCCGGGGGTTGGGGATGCACTCTCTGGGAATGCAGCCTTACCTGGGCCTGGGCGGGCTGTCGCTTGAGGGGGCAGCCTCCTGAGGCTTATTCACTGGGGGGCCTGGGGCACGCCGTGTGCCTGCTGCCCCAGCGGCACTGAGCGCGCCCCCTCGCCCAGGCACTCGGGGGCCCAGTGCATCACCTGCTCCTACAAGGCCAGCTCGGGGCTGTTGTACCCGCTGGAGCGGGGCTTCATCTACGTCCACAAGCCGCCCGTGCACATCCGCTTCGACGAGATCTCCTTCGTCAACTTCGCCCGCGGGACCACCACCACGCGCTCCTTCGACTTTGAAATCGAGACCAAGCAGGGCACGCAGTACACTTTCAGCAGCATTGAGAGGTGAGTGCCTCTGCCCAGCCCTCCCGGGCACCCTGGTCCCGACCCAGCCGCCTCCACCCGGCGGCCCGGCCT